CCAGGCAGGCAGTGCATCGCTAGCGGCTGTCGTTTCCTCCGAACAGCGGCTGCGTGCGCGCCCCTCTGCCGCGCCCACAGCTCAGCCTCAAAGGGGGGGATGGTGCCACCTGGTGGCGAGACGTGGCGTCGCCCAGGGCCTCGTTGGCACGGCGTTCATTCCAATGTAGTGCTTTCACTCCCCCTGTAACCGGTGAATAAGGAGACAAACCCGAGTGGCTTTTTCTCACGTTTTTCCACATAAACAAGCCTCAGGTGCTTTAAATCGCTCATCACCTTTCACTTCTCCAGGCCAGTAGTTCACATCCCTTTCATCTTCACACCAGGTTGTAGTTTCAACCCCAGCACCATTTTTTATAATTTTTCTTTAAGTGGTGACACTATAAAGTGAGCACTTGCAGAACGCAGTGATGAATACCTTTATGATGGGAACAAACAAATACCATGGAAGTTATTCAATCCCCTGAATACGTTAACATCGCCCCTCCCCCACCTAGCTGAGCTGTGTCCTAGGCCAGCTTCACTGCCTAACACAGGCAACCGTGGTCTTGGCAAAGAGAAGTAGTTAGAAAAGCCGTATATAGTTAAGTATAACTTTTTAAATTCATTTGTACTCCAGTGACCTATTCCCATATCCAGGCTTTTAATTTGGAAGACCTAAAGTGTAGGCATTTTGAAAGCTTTATAAGTTTTGGTTAGATTAAATGAAATATTGGTTTTGTTTCTTGCAACGGTTGTGGAGGAATACGTTTGTTTTCTATATGCTTTCTTCACCGTGACCGTTAGGATTAAAGTTCTGCCCCTGTTCCACACGACATTCCGCCTCAGTGACCCCACGGCCGTGAAAAGCAGCGGGACCGAGGCAGGCGGGCGGTGCCTGCTAGTGGCTGCGTGGGGCCCACTCAGCAGCCGAGACAGCCCTGCCACCTGCTTCGGGCACATTCTCCTGGCTGCCGCCGCGCGCTGGCCTGTGTGTGATGGGCTGGCAGTGTATTGTTAGCTGGTCGGTGTGTGGATGACATCAGCTAACATGCAACTGCTATCTCATTGCACGTACGCGAGCATCGAGCGTCACTAAACCTGGAAGGTGTGTGTGGGCCTCTTGCTACGACCCAGCAGATAAGCACAGTGGACTCACTCTTGCTGTTCAGTTACTCAATGTACCAGATAGATCCATATGGGGGAGAGCTACTCTGATCACTCACAAAATCCCAGGTCATGTTGCGGAGGCTCTAATACTTGTAGGCCTCAACTTTGTCTTCATTTTCTGTAAAATCTCAGACTCGTATTTGGAAGTGAGCAGAGATGTGGCTGGTGGAGGGGGAAGCGCTGAGCAGACGATATGATTGTAAGTGTTTTCTCCTTCCCTTGAGGCCACGGTGAGGCCTGGAGCGGGGCCAGGCTGTGCTGGGTCCCAGCCGTGCAGGGCGCGCACGTGGGCAGTGGCTGGTGTTCATAGAACTGACAGGGGGTCTGGGCGATGGGTACCCCCTAAGTGAGATCTGAGAAATACATCACATTCTCTACTGTGCTGGTTATAAGTTATTGGTAAAATGACCTTTATTCTTACTTAAATGTAAACAGTTCTAGAACCGTGGGTTAATAGATGCCTGTAATTTCATTCCTGTGCATTTTGCTGCTCTAATCTCACCCTCTTTTTGCCCAGTATCATTCCATTTGCTGGATCTTTGTGTTTAACCAGCCCGTCTGCATGAGTATTGTTTTCATCTTGTTTTCTTAAAGGTGAAAGTGCAGCATGTTATTTTTCATAGAAAGTCACTGAGCTGTTGATAAAAATAAAACCTACTCAATTTAGAAGGCTTGGCCTTTGTGTTTTAATTTTTGTAAACTAAAGAGCCGAACGTAAAATGCCAACATTTATACTCAATAAAGAGAATGTGTGTTTACAGTTGCTCTTCAGTTCCATATTGAGATGATGAGAAAGGAGGGAAAGTGGAATCAAGTGAAGAGAAATGAAGGAGAGCGTGAGTGAGGAGGAGAATGAGGACATGAATTCTCAAGGAAATGTCTCCCTGTGAGCGAGAGGGAGAGAGAGGGAGGCATGGCCTGGGACCCTGAAGGAAAAGGAGGAGGTAGCTTAATGGAGG